ATGTATTTATGTATTTATTTATTTATTTATGTATTTATTTATCGGTCTTGTAAAAATTCATGTTTGTTTTTTAAAATATGTTAATTATCCTGATGGTTATATAAAAAAGTGCACCATGAAAATTTTAAGGTGTTTTGCCCTGTTGATAACCGCAAAAGTGGGTGGTTGGCAGGTGTTCTAGTGTAGTATGCTCCTTATTTCTTAACAAACATCTATCGTCTTTATCTCTCATCTTTCTTTTTTCTGTCTGTTACTCTCTTTTAACTCCTCTGATCTTCGACACTTATACGACTTTATTGTGTTGCAAATGCAGTAGCACTCATACGAAAAACTAAATCCCGCAAATTAAACATTGTTCTTACATCTAAACAAATTTTTTTTTCTCTCCTTCTCAACGGGCATATTCAAAGGATGATACGTATACGTACTTAAAAAAAAAAAGATGATTAAAACACTAGTACGACCTTATTGTGTTGCATATGCAGTAACACTGAAATCCGCAAATAAAACATGGTTCTTACTTCTAAACAAGATCTTTTTTCTCCTTCCCAACTGGTGTATATTCAAAGGATGATACATGTACGTAATTTAAAAAAAAAAAGGATAATTTAAAAAGAAAAAGTCCACATCATTGCTTGGTGGTGTTACACTTAGGTGGAGAATCTGAAGGTACGCTTGGGCTTAGTTCTGTTTATTGGCTCAGTTTTCCTGCCGTAATTAGTATACTTCAGGTCGGGTTGTCTCTGTCTTATGACCTCGGGGCTAATTTTTCGCTATGGTTGGGTATACTGTATTACTTGTCAATTTTTGTCACAGTATGACTTTGGTAGTTTTCTTCCTTCTGGCTCTTCTGTGTGTTTAGATTGTTTGTTTTCTTTATTTGTTTGCTTGTTTTAATTCTCTAAACAAATGAAAGATAATATTTATGACGGTATTATTTCCCGGTTTTGGAAGAATGGATCATGTGTGTTCACCAGTTTCTTCAATGCGAAATACGAATTCATACACCACTCACGCACACATGCGCGTGCGCGTACACACACACATATACAAATACACACACACACACACACATGCACGCACACAATCCCGCACGCACGCACGCGCACGCACGCACGCGCACGCACGCACGCACGCGCACGTACAAACACACATTCTCCTTTATTTGTTTGCTTTGTTTCATTAGATTAATTTGTCCTTGGACTTACTTATTTTGCCTGTCTTTTTACTTCTTTTTCTCTTTACGTATTTGTTTATTCAAATAAATGTATATTTATGAACATGTATATTGACAATTTCATTAGATTGAACTATGTATGTACTTATATACATTTCTGACCGTTTTTGTCTATGTTTCTCTTATGCAGTTGCGAGCGCCGTAAAACCTGTACTAAAACTAAACTGTCTATATTTCTTTATATA